TTGATAAAATAGAAAAGCCATACTCTTATACTTAATTAGCGAAATGTTTATTAATTGTCTCAGACTTCATTGTTCTTGCATTTCCATACCAACTGCTTTCTGTTCCCGTTCTTTCCTTCTTGATCTTCTCAATCTTCTGCTGCCAGACATTCTATTCTTGACTCGCGTCATTTACTACTTATGTCGATATAAGTAGAACACACCACAATTTGACTTTTGTAGTAGTTAATCAAGTTTTGTTATTAATTAAAGATAACATGGAAATTGTCAAAAACATATGTTATATTCAGCCTATTGAATAAAATGATATATACCGTTTAAATTTTTATTTAAATGTAAATATTATGGAATCAAGAATCTGATAGGTGATTCCATCAAGTTTAAAGATGCCCCTTAATGATGAGTGTCAGCAGGCATAAATCCTAGGCTCTGAAATTCTTATCGATCGTTCCCAACTATTTAACATCAAAGCACTATTTATGCGCTGCAATTTAGTCGGTTGAATTCTATCAGAACTAAGGACAAGGCAAACAAAACAATGAGTAATATTTCACTAATGATTAGCTATTGTAAAAACAAAAGACCACATGAACAGTTGAAATATAATCCTTATATATATTGACAAAGAGAACTACTGAAGTGTTCTTGAAGAAACTATGTCAAAAGTTGTTCTATTAACAGGATACATAATTTTACCACATTTTGCTCACTAAACAGAATAAAAAAATAATAATTTAATTCATTCTTGTGAGCGAACCTTATGGAATTGGCTAAATTTTAATACTGAAAACACAGGACAAAAACAAATGATATTTACATGATAATGAATTAAAATGAAGAATCAAAGTACTCAAGCATATTTGTATTCTAGAGGAAAATAAATCAAAATGGACATAAATTCATAAACAGTTTACTATGACCAGTTTGAGAAGTTTTAAGAATTCCTTAATTCATTAAGTTCTGTATGAATAAAGATAACAATCTAAGAAAAAGACTAAAAGTTACAAAGTCCAGTCAGTTGAATAACCAGCTTTCGACAATCAGATAATATTTATTGAATGATGGATTGATAACTAATAAAAACTGTATTGATCAAGCATTGCTGATATCAAGATGCTTTTTGGGACTAGGATTCATCACACACTAGAATCTAATAGATAAACACTATGAAGTTGAAAGTAACGGTCAGCTGTTACCATATCAAACTAAATCAAGTAATTTAGAGTTTTACTCTAAGCACATCATCTTCGAACCGTTTATTTAAAATTCAATAATTCAAATATCCACATTCATACATTTTGTGATAGTGGTGTTGTGAGCGTTCGTAGTTGATGACCACTACGTTAAAATATCTAAACTTCAGCCCCTGAATTGAACAGTTTTCTAAATGATATCAGTCTATAACCTAAGCGAAATTTAAATCATGATTGTTTTATTAGTCATAACGATCAATCATTTACGTCATATTTCCCTCTTGTAAACAACAGCATAAATCTACTGGCTTGACTCTTCGGGCTGAACAATTTATAAATAATTTTCAGCACCATTAATTACTTAACTATCTGTAATTTACGCACGTAGACAAAATTTTTATTCGATGTATTATTTATAACCATTATTAAGAATGGTATTAATATTTTACAAACAACGAACATGAGAGTACGGTTGGTTAGATACACTAAAGGTTTTAAAATAGTAATCCTCAATATCATCCCATCAATTACACAGTCAGTAGTAACTTGAGATTTCTTAAAATACGACAAATTCGATTTTTCAACTTAAAAAGAAAGACATTTATAGTTATTTTCAATAGTTTTATACATGTATTTTGTTTCATAACTACTCTCAGTAAAATTCATATGAACATGTAAAAACAGTGTTGAAGCATTGACGCATATAAATCTTTCAAGGAAATACTATCCAACGTAAAATATGAGCTGTAACTCAAAAAACAGACTGAATTTCTGTAAATAGATATATTTGTAATATTCTCTGAAGAAGTGACTCACACTAAGTCACGAAACGTCAGAAAATCTAATTTTTCTACTTATTGGGATATTACGAATATATTCGAAATTATCAGATTAAATTTCTACTTCATTGACAATAATTCAAGATCGTTTATTGATTATATTTAAAGGAACCTTAACTACGAATTGAAATACGTGAAAGAACTGAGGATTGTTAAACGAGTCGTGGTATGTACTAGTAAGTCATATACGTTCAATGATAAGACATAATATTCATGATTAAGGATTGTGAAAATAATCTCAAGCGAAATTTTGCACACTTTATTATCAAAATTTTGTAAGATAATTCTGTAATTAACAAATACTAGATTTCCCGTTTGTTTATAGTCTTGAAACTGATCATGAAATTGGATTTACCAATGAAGTCTATATTACGATACTCCATTCTGTCTACAGATATTCTTTCAATCATTCAAAAAGTATAATAAATAAGTGTATATTAATTGTTCAACATTAAGAAGTTGAGAGTGTTTTGTTATAGATACCATTAATCCATATTCTCATAGAAAGCGTAAACACAAGATGTTACTCCATTATGAGCGAACGATGAATAGGCCATAAATACGAATTCTCCATTTGATTTCGTGTATTCTACTTAAGCTAACTCTGTTTAGGCGAAGGCATTAACGAAAACCCAAACACCAATTAAGATATATGGATTTATTTCAAGCACTTGTCTACTCAGATAGACCGGTCAAATACATATATGTATATGTGTATACATGCGGGATTGAAAAATCTAACATTGGACATGGATCGAAGTACGCTTCACTTAGTGTCACAGAAAAAAACACAATCACTATGTTCTTTTAAGACAAGGTTAGTTTTTAAAACATTGGAACAATAGTGCTAAATGATGACTGAATATTAAACCTAGTTATCCCGTCTCAAAGTTGAATCTTATCCTATAGGTTGTCATCTATCATCTAATATATTTCTCTTTTCAACAGGAACTTTTACCTTTTAAATCAGTATTTTATATAGATATCCTAATGCAATGATACATTTTATTTTCAAGATTTCTTACAATCTAATTTCTATACGTAAATTTCCAGTCAAGTTTATAAACTGTCTGATATCCATTATAAGTGAATGGTATGTAGTCATTTTTTCACCAATGTTTTCTCTCTTAAATTTATGTAAATTCATTATCTATTGAAAGAAAAGCCTTCTAGTCACCATGATTAAGAACATCTAAAATGTTTTAGATATAAACTGAATAAATACACAGAATTATTTTTAGACAATACATGACAAAATTACTCATTATTTACTCCCGTTTCTTTCTAATTTATTTATCTATCTATTTATCTACCTAAAGAAAACACTATAGATAATTTCATCATTTCGATTGAATAGTTGTTTATAGTTAGATTTTACCAGTTTAATCAAGGTTAACAACAACGGTTTTCTATTTTACTAATGTGTCGTTTGACCCTCCTCTTTTCTGCCTCCCTTCAGGATTTCAAGTTTGGGCTTGCCTCCGGTCAACGGACATTTAGTATCTTGCACAGACAATTGTTTGTAAATACTTGTAACTTCTTGATGATGGTTATAGTAGTTCTCCAAGTTTCAGCTCCGTACAGTAGAACTGTCTTGACGTTCGTATTGAAGATTCTCACTTTGATAGTGGTTGAAAGTTGTTTTGAGTTCCATATGTTCTTCAATTGTAGGAAAGCGGCCCTTGCTTTGCCAATCCTCGCCTTTATGTCTGCCTCTGATCCTCCTTGTTCATCGATTATGTTTCCCAGGTATGTGAAGGATTCTACATATTCCAGAGTTTCGCCATCAGGTGTGATTGGATTGCTATTCTCCGTTTTGAACTTAAGGACCTGAGTTTTCCCCTCGTTTATGTTGAGGCCTACTGATGCAGAGACTACTGCTACACTGGTTGTCTTCATCTGCATTTGTTCGAGTGTATGGGATAGGATGGATAGGTCATCTGCAAAGTCCAAATCGTCTAATTGGTTCTGAGCTGTCTATTGTATACCGGGTTTTCCCTCAGATGTTGAGGTCTTCATAATCCAGTCGACCACCAGAAGGAAGAGGAAGGGAGAGAGTAGACAGCCTTATCTGACTTCGGTCCTTACTTGGAATGCATCTGTCAGCTGTCCTCCATGTACTACTTTGCACTGTAGTCCGTCGTATAAGTTCCGGATAATGTTGACAATCTTCTCAGGAACTCCGTAGTGTCGAAGAAGTTTTTATAACTTCCTCCTATCTACACTGTCAAATGCCTTTTCATAATCAATGAAGTTGATGCATAGTGACGAGTTCCACTCAACTGATTGTTCGACGATGATCAGTAGTGTCGCAATTCGGTCTGTGCACGACGATTTTACTATACTGTGTTAAATTAAATTATTTACTTCATACTGATTGCTTAACTTCACATTCATTGATATGATTACTTTTATTCAATTTAAAATAAATGTTTAAATAATACATTTGTTGCTGACTAGTTTAAAGCTTATTTCCCATAAAAGATTCACTAGCTTATCTGACTTGTTAGTAAATATTATTCACAGATTCGCACTCCATAAATCACTGCATTTCCACTATGACGTAATTAGATTGTATGGTATTCTTCTTTATCTTTGTCCGTAAAACATATTTAGTCAATAAATTTATGCATACATTTATCACCCCAACCGCGGTTTCTAGCATTCTCTGCATAGTGGTTGCTTATCAATTCTTTTTTTGAGTAAATGAGTGGAACGAATTTGTCTGGTAAATCAAGAAAAACCTGACTGAAATTTTCCTTGAAATAGATTTTCATCTCAAAATTTTTAACGAAACATTAATCAAATAAATTTCCTCCAGATGACTAACATTATACTGTAAATACTACAATATAAAACTTGATTTACACAGAAGATGAATGAAGTTGGACTTATATCTATGCTGTTCACATTCATTCAAAAATTTTATGTATGTGTATCAAGTGAAGAAGTCTCAAGCAGTAGGCTTTAGGTACCGACGTTGTAATAATAGCAATTGAAAAAAACATATTCAAAAACTTAGACTTTTTCTATTACAAAAACAGTAATTGATATTTTTATACAATTCTAAATATCGTCCCATAATCAACAAAGATACGTTCGGATGAGGAAGATAGAAACCAAAATTATACTGAAAGGAAATATTGGAAAAAACATAAAAAATAATGGAATCTGAAGTAATCTTTTTTGAGCATTGAAAATATATGTCTGGCCTTCGCCTCGTCCTTGAATATATTTATTTAATTTTTAACTACAAATATTGTTTCTGGAATTGATCGTGGTGGTAATGGATAGTTCATTAAATTAGAGTTACATTGATGCTGTTGTTCTGTACAGTGAATTGTTTGAACTTGATCAGTACAATAGCACTTGGTTGGGGTGTAAGATATTGTTGATGACATATGATTTGGACATGGTGAGTATAGTGTTAAGCTAGAAAGTTGTGAACATTTACATGGTACGATGGTTTCCGGTTCACTCAATGTATATTTTATCATTGTTTGATGTAGGGGGTCCGGATCTTCAGATCTAAATTAAATTCGTAGTGTTAAAGGTTACAATTAATTAAAATTATACTTTACTTAATGCTTTAAAAAATCGTTTATAAACTGGTCGTTCAATTTTATGTTGAAAAAAGCATCTTGTGTTCATTTTAATTAGATGCATTTCATAGATGCAGCTCGATATATATTGTGGATTATATTATGAAGTGTATACAATAATAATAGAATTATCTCTGTGTTTCTTACGAAACGATTACGCTTATAAAAACTAACAAAAACAACAGGGTAACACAAAAAACTTACCAAGTGAACTTTTATAAACAATACCAAATTTCGCACATATCATGAGGACTGGTATTCAGGTAACTACAAGGTGTTTTACCGATTGTCACCCATCATCCACCATAAATTTAAGGAGGACATTGATGCTGATTATACTTAAAACGCAATCGTAGACGTTAAGTCGAGAGACATAAAATGCGAAAATCTCTGTACATAGTAAATATTTCTAACTCTAAATACCGGAATGTTCATGAAACAGTCTTTTACTAATTAATCGAACACGTCATCTAACAAGACATCATGGAACGACACAGATCAATTATGTCCAGTATTTTGTGAAGCTTAGTAAATTATAGACATTTAACAACAGAATTTACATGCAATACGTAATACTTTAAAAACACGTTGAATCGGGATTCATTGGTACGTATGTAGTCAATTGATTAGTTCTGTAGTGGCTTAAGATACAAACAAAATGTCGTAATAAATCATATTGGGTTTCACTGTATTTTTTAAATATACTTTTTAAAGTTAATAATGTTGTTGGGGGGAATAGGCTTTGTTGACGACCTTGAGGAAAATCAACCGCTTATAAAGTTTAAAATACGATTAAAATTAGTGTTACGAATTAACTTCAGAAGTAAAGGTAAGGAGTCGAAGTCAGGGTTTTTATTAGGAAACGGCATCAGCAAAAGTGTAAAGATGTTTTGTTGATATACAGATGAATGGACTTTGCTTCAAACTTAAATAGATTCCATATCGCATTTGATTGGTCAATTAATAAAGAGTAATTTCAAAATATATGATAAATATGATAAAATTTACCTCGAAATTTCAGGCGTCATCAGTGCATAATGTTTGTCTGAAACAAAGAGAAAACAACTGATTATAATAAGCTCAAACTGAATAGTGATAAAAATCAGCTTTGTGAATAAACCAATAGATTAGATTTAGAAATGTTGTTATTTAAGATTTCTTGGTATACACAAACCTGTAAATAAATTCAACAAGTGAAATATGTTTTCAAAGTGCTTATTATTAAGATCTTAGAAGCTTTTTTAAAATCTTGTGACCGATTTAGAGGTACTATACAAAATGTTACAGTTTTTAACATCCATTACAATATATCATTTGTTTAGTTATCTTAATTGTTTAAGAAAGTTGTTTCAAAACATTGTACATGGTGATTTGGCAGATGAACAGTGAATATTAGTCAGAAAATATTTCAATACGTCAGTGTAGTTTTCACTTAAACTGATTTGGAATATGTTTGTGATGGTAGGAAGTGTGTTTCGAATAGGATAAGTATATTCAATATAGACTGAGAACTTTTTGTCAACAATCATTTAAATGATGAAAGGCATTTTCAATTTGAATTTATGATCACAAACAAATCAACCAAACGGATAATAATAAAGCATATGAAAACATGAAGAAGAAATCAACTGAGCCTGTGACACAGTCTCTGAAATATCTAAACTTATTTAACTAACAGTAAAACAATAACGGTATTGTGAATAACAGTCTTCATAAAATGCCGTAGTTTCCGTCAACATTTTTTGTATTTCCCCAAGTAGAATTTAGTGTCTTGCATGACAGAATACAGTGTCATTCATAATTATTTAAATTGTCTAATAATTATACGGCATTGCTAATTCGATGCAATATAAACGATGGTTATACCGAATGCACACAGCGGTAATCAATTTCTTCATTAAAAGATACAAATTAATAAAACAATTCCTCGAATACTCCATTACTCGCGAATAATCATAATGGCTTTATTTATCTTAGCCTATTCCTGTAATTCCTTGAGCAATGTCACGGTCATCAGATGTGCTTATATGTAGAATACTACGACACTGAAATGAGCTTGTAGAAGTATCTTATTAACCTTGAACATTTATTAGATATTTATTAAGTACTAATTGTCAGTGAGAAATATAAGTTGAATTCATATTGCAAAATCTTCGAAAATCAATCCACTATAAACATTCTATGAGGTTTATTACCTAGAACAAAACCATTTTTTAATCTGCCTTGAAAATACTGATAATAAGCAACATTATTAATTACGTAAATAATCTTTTTCAAGACAAAATATTAACTCAGGCTGTTGTCTTATATTAATGATATATTTAGTAAGAATAATGATTTTGTCAAATATTAACATCATACCTGGTAAATTATGATCTATCTCTTTTGTTACATCATCAGTATTCCACATATTTACTAAATTTGTATTTTGTTTATCCATTACTTGATGAGTTTTTGATGTATCTGAAGAAGAAGAAGAAGGATAATAAGCTGAATTTTCATAACTAGATAATATTAAATATATTTGATCACAATTTGTATCTTCGGTTTGTTTTGAACATTGAATTGTATGATTTGAATTTAAATCTGTTGTATTCAATACATGTTCTTTTATATATTGTGAAGTTAAATATTGATTTAATTGTTCATTATTACAATCATAACAATCAGGAATACTATAGTTATCTAATTTATGATTAGAATTTGATATTAAATTTTGTTTAAATTCATTCATTACAAAATTTGTATCATATAAATTAAATGAATCATTTAAACAAGTTTTATTCGATTGATATTGATTATTTAAAAAATCAATATTAGGTAATGTTACAATGATTTGTTTGTCATTATATTGTTTTATTGATTGTTTTTTATTTTTATTTTTAATTTTTTTAATTTTGATTTTGATCTTTTTTATTGATTTTTTTAACAATATAAATATTAGAATGAATATGATTAATATAAAAGTAAAACTAATACAATAAATAAACCAATATGTTTTGTTATGTTTATTTATTATGTCATGATTATTGAAAGTGTTCAAGTTCTTTAATGTTTTCATTTTAATATTATGTAATCTTATATTAGTAATATTTTGTTGATAATTATTTAACGTTTCATAATGTACTTGTTGAATTGCTTTATAAATAAGATAACGTTCATAATAAAGAGTTTGATTTAATGCATTTAAGATGGATGCTATAATGAAGAAAAATAATTTTCATGATATAAATCACATGTTTGTTACATGATTAAACATTTAGAAACAAAACATATATGTGTGTTATGTATAAGATGAGTAAGATTGATCACAAGATTGTCTCAATGGGTAAATTCCTTTTTTTGATATGTAAGAGAACTAATATAATTATATTTAAAGCTTTTCATAAGTATTATCAGAAAGGAGTTTTCTGAAGATTTAAAGCTAGACCATCATGAAAAATCTGGAAGCACTGGACAGACGTTTCGTTCTAGTATGGGACCCCTTAGAAGTGTGCAACCAGGACCTATCAGTCTTACGCTTGAACACTTAAATTCTAGACCAATGAGCCGGCATCTAACGGTGTTAATGTTTAACCAATGGAATTGAATCTTTTCATAATTATTTAACACGTTTTTGACATTTTTCCGAGAGAAATATCATTACAAGTAGACATAAGTCAAATTAAATATAGAAATACTTGATGTTTGATTCGTTCTTTAATATGGACACTAAGTTGCATTCATTATCATTATGCCTGAAGATAGCAGTCAGAAACACTTAACCATTCAAATTGTAACTTATTATAAATTGGAATTATCTAGCTAACTTTTCTGAAATACTCATTTAGTCACAGAATTTAGAATCTTTTTGATTCTTAAACAGTTATTGAATACACAATACATGTAAATAATGCTCTCGATTAGCGTTTATAAAATAGAGTAGTGAAAAGGCGAAGATTATCAGAACTATGTGATATATTAGCGCTATACATTTCGAACAATCTGATCACACATATACTTGTTGAGAACATTTATATATAAAACCGAAAGGTCAACTAGACAAGAAATAGAGGGTAAGAAGAGACAAGGATAATAAGGAAATAATTTGAAAACAATTTTGAACCTCGTCACTCTGGATAATAAACTAATATTACCAGGGTAGGTTTAAAGTGAGAACAAACTGTTTTTGAATGCACAATGGGGGTTTGAATTTTTGTATAGCTAAAGCTTTAATAAACCTTAGTATAGGCCTTTTTACACTTTTACACAATCCCACAAAAGCCGAGTTAAGATCAATCACAATTGATTGATCACTGGGTGGTGATCAATGTCATGCTTGTCTAGTCCTTATTAGTGCAGATCGAATGCTATCGATCATGTTGCAATGTGGCCACCAGTCTAGGTGACTCGACACTGCGGGCACTATGTATTGAGATTTAGATGGTGGTTGGAGGTAGTCAACAGGAAACTCTGGACCCGGGTTTCGTGCTACTTGGCACTCGTCAGCAAGGTGTACCTGTACCTGCTCCGCCAGGGAGCACCAGTTCCCTCAAGATTACAGGTACACCTTGCTGACGAGTACCAAGTAGCACGAAACCCGGGTCCAGGGTTTCCTGTTGACTACCTCCAACCACCATCTAAGATCAATCGTATGACCTGTTTCAACTATGTGCTAGACCATAGAGGATGATAGATGTTTATCCTCTACTCATATTGAGTCATTTGAATTTTTATATATAAATGTTCTCAACAAGTATATGTGTGATCAGATTGTTCGAAATGTATAGCGCTAATATATCACATAGTTCTGATAATCTTTGTTTTTTTATTACACTATCGAAATTTATCAAAGCAACTAATTGCTTGAAATTTGTTAAATACTTTTTTTCAGGAAACATCTTTATTGATGTTAAATTAAATTAAAGTGGGAATTCGGGCTAACCGAAATTTGTATGACCTTCAGCGTTGAGAATGAATAACTTACTGACATTAAAACTCATTTATCAGTTTCATCCTTTATGTTGGTTAATTATAGTGTAAAAGGTGTAACTAAAAAAACAAGACTTACGTAATAAAGGGTGTTTAATGATTAACTCATTGGACGGTTCACTAACTGACATTAAGCCAAAAGATTTTACACGAAACCTCAATTCATACACTAATGAATTGTAGTATAAATTAGTTAAAAATGAGTTTAATTCATTGTATTCAACAATTGTTCTGAATGCATCACTGTCAACTGTTAGATCTTCATTTCTGTTGTTACTTTCCAACAAAAACATTTCATTATCATGATTTAATTCAAGAGTTAATTTGGGATAGCGTACTGGTGCTAAGGACTTCCACCGATATATATAATTTTTACCATCTGTACAATTACTAATTCCAAATAGATGCGTTTGGGAACTTGCGCATACAATGAATTCTACCTGGAAATATGAAATTTGCTCCGACAATTCATTGCTTTTCTGTTGAACATTTAGATGAAGTGATGAAGTTTGTGGATTCTTTTGAAATTTCCATGTTAGAATGCTGTTATACCGTTCAGTTTGAGTTATTTGTAGTTTTAATGATTGTGGCGACGGTGGTTTAGATGAATCTGTATCTGAGATACGAAAAAAATGTTACCAAAAATATGAGTTTTAACAGTTGGTTAACATCATCGGAAATTTTTTCTTTGTTAAGATTTATGCATATGTTTATTACAGTCATAAGATGCACACGTTTTATTTGTTCTGCACTTGGGAATAAGTTTCTTTCAATTACTTCTATAAATCGAAACAGTCAAGATTTTCTTTACTCTAAAACAAATGACCGTACAATTTTATAGTGACCATGTTATCAAATGAAAGAATGGACACCTTAGAATTGACATAAAACGGATGTACGTAATATTTTCAAATTAAATGTTTCGAAGTCTTACCATTGCTGGTACTGCCCGTAGAAACGTTAAGTGAAAATAAGTATTTCAAAAATGAAGTGTACAAGTTTCAGAAGAACGAGCTATACCTATAATTGATCACTAAGCATAACTGTTATTTTATATATATTATGGATAAAACATGTTTTAGTCGAACATTTTCTTATTTACCTTCATTTTACTCTGCCAAATGACTAACAAAAAGGCAGATGTAAATACAGTGAGTGGCATACATCTAGTGGAATGACATCTGTTAGTTTTTTCACATTTTAAAATGTCTATCTACAACCATCTTCATAATAGCGTCGAAGTGATTTGCTGCCAATAGCCCTAAGTCTTTTTAAAAAATGGTAGAATAGAAGGGTTATGTTTAATGTAAAACAATGGGAAATATACAAAGTTTATTAGTCGTAAAAGTATGCATCGTGTAGTGCTAAAAACACTATAAGTCAAAGAAAGTTCCTCTGTTATTAACGAAACACGAGCTACAATAAGTGAGATCAAATACTGTTCTTTTACATAATTTTCAATAATGCAAACGTTATACAACCCCCTCATTGTGTTTAATTCCTCTCTATATCACAGAAATACTGACATTTCAACTGTAAAAGCATTCAAAATTAAATTAAGTGTTGGCTGAGACGTCATTTATTTCAAAACAGTGAATTAAATAACTTTCAAACACACAGCAATTGAAATGTGTTGTGTGAAAGTAATCCTGAACCTCCTATAAAATTGATAAAATTGGGAAACATTTAGGAAGATGAGTGCACAAGATCTTTAAAACAGCACTTAGCTACTCCTTATCACTTGTTGTTTGGAAATAACTGTTGTTTCCAGATTATTTATTATTCATCACTTTCTGCTATAGTTTCAAAGTAACGGATAATAATCCTGAATGGATAAGATAATAATTTACAAGTTTCAGAAACTTTAAGAATTTGTTAAACATAACCTAGTTGACATGTTTCATAAACTGAACTGTAATGTCATCCAACCATACCATATCGATCACGAATTCCTATCATACCATAAAACTGAAGAAAATATAGTTCTTTCCTTTAATAATATGTATATTTTTGTTATAACCCAATGAGTAGAAAAATTGTATTTCTGACGTTTCATAACTTAATGTGAACAACTTCTTTAGAGTAAATAATTAACCGAATTGAGTCCAAAACCTTCAGAAATACAATTTTCTACTCATTAGGATATAAGGAAAAATATATTTACTATTGACCTTTTATCAAATCCTTAGTTTATTTGAAATTATCAAGTCCAATCTTGCCGTTAATACATACAAGTTCTTTCCCTTGTCTTAAAACCATTCATGATATTAGTTGGCATTAAAAATTATTACTCGCTTCAGTCAATTTTTTTTGGTTTAGATGATAAGACGGCTAACACAATCTATCCTACTAACCTTGATTTGATCGGTAAATCTGAACTTAAAAGAACCTTGACAACACATATTGAGACTAGAGTTTCGTGAGTTCACAATTGTAAACATTTTTTCACTCAACCCTTTATCTTGACAATTGTCTATCAGCCTGAATAGTCTATATATCTACATACGAAACCTAAATTTAAATACAATAGACGGAATTTACTTAGCAGTGAGATACAGTAAACATGTTTTGTTTTATTTTTGGACTAATCTACTGGACGTACCTGCAACCCAGATTCAAACATTTCACATGAAGATTAAAGTCCTTAAATCGTTATTGAATTACTTACTATGTCCAAATATGTGTTCATTTGTGAAAAGTGCATGAATTTTAATTTTAATTGTAATAGTCTGGATTAAGAAACTGTTAATTAATAGGATGACTTTTGTATGGTGTTCTGGATTAATCTGATTGCTACATTCCAACTCTTCTATATACACTTGTCATTCAATAGCTACATCAAAATAATCCTCATGGAATGCTTATATGCCAACGCAGACTGACCGAATTTCAGTAAAAATCTCAATAACGAGATAATCCAATCCACTAAAAACTAAATTAAAAAGCCTAATTGATTTCAATCTCTGGAGATCACAGTATAGATCGAATATTACAGCCTACTTATTAGGTAGTTTAACGACCCTTATGACTCACTACAAATATTTGACTGAAGTAATTTGGGTTAATCAGGTATTCTTTAAAATATCCGCCATAACAGATTAGTGATAGATTTCAAATTCTTCTAAATGAGCGGGATAATTGATTTTCTGACAATTCACAACACAGTATAAACCATGAATAAATAGCATTTTTAATTTGACATAGTTTTACATAGTACGACGAATAGGATAGATCAAACTGTCGGTGCATGCAAGCAAGTTTTAAGTCTTTTTGGTTTATTTGAGCATCTTAAGGTTTCATTTCATGGCTGTTGAACAAGTTATGCACTAACAGTCGCAAATTAATGTATATATTTTTAAGCTCTCATGCCATTTTGAACTTGAATGTTTTGCGGCACGAATCAGGTTTTCCAAAGAAAACGTTTCAATAAAAATATGCCTCTTAACCAACAGAGCCCATTTAGAATATATAGTTCTATAAAGACACTAATAGAGTTTTATCTTTTGTTCAAGGTAAATCCCCTCCTTCTGTGTGAACTGTTTCGTAGAAAGATTTGTGTTTTACTAAGATTTTCAGCAGTTCTATTTAGATTACAGCTGGTCAGTTACAAAGTAGAACCTGGTATATATGTAAACCAGTTCAGGTTTTCAAACCTTGTTAATACAGCAAGATGAAATTGTTAGGCTGAATAATTGAGCAGTAGACGTAGTGACAGTGTTAATGATAACAGAAAAGATAAGTTGTTAAAAATACGGCTCATAAAAATGTTAATTAGTCACATAAATAAATTATAAAGAATTCGGAATCTTAGCTTTTAGGGTAGACAACGAATGGATGCACCCGAACCAATCCAAACGACTTTCTGTCATGCCATTCAAAGTCTTTAGCCACTAGTTACGATAATCACGCGTACTTCAACCAAATAATCTACACCTGTCAACATATTTCAATCCAATTTTCAGTGACTCTATGGACAGTTATCATGTTTTATTTTGTTCACCCCCAGCCTCCTTCCAGTTTAATTTTACACCAAATAAAATCATATATAGACGTAGGCGGTTAGCACTCATAAGTAACACATATCCAAACCACCTCATCAATCTATTTACCAACTACAGCATTAAATCATGATTTCTCTTTAGAGTATTCACTTAATAATAATTCACTTATTTCAGCATATTTTATTATTAAGCGAGTAAGGTAAATAAGTTGGAAGATATTAGTAGTTTCTTTTCCTTTTGTTGAAATTACTTTATAGTACAACTGTGGTAGTTTTTGTGAATGAATTTTAAGGAAAAGAAAGTTTAGGGTTGAATGAATTTACCAACAAAAATACAATTATAAATATTAACTTGAAAGTATTGGAGATTTAAAAGAATTTCTATCGATCATTCAAAATTAATGTGTACTGTGTCATTAATGATGAAATTAATCGCCAAATTTAACAACCATTACTAAGATATCATGAATTTCATTGTAAAAATAAATACAAAATACAGGAAGATGATAACAAAAATTATCTCTTAGAAACATTTCAAATAGAGATAATGTATTTTATTACCGTGTTCAAACTCTAAATAATGGGTATTGTTATTCGTTAAAATTAATCCAGTATTTTGATCTAATGGTAATCCAGTTCTAATTAGTACTGTAGAACTACTCGAGTGATTATAGTTCGATGATGTACACCAATGACTTATTCGGAATGCATATAGTTCATCTGGAATAAGTCCATTTAACCTTATTCGACTAGTGTATTCTGGTTGTACAACAGCTAAAAGTGAGAAAATGGAACAGAATAGAACAAAGTATTAACATTTTGAAACATTTTAAATAAAAAATTATGCATTGCAGTATTAACGTAAGTTTCAGTTTAGATTCTAATGATTGGAACCTTGTTGCTATTCAGTTTTTTAGCTCAATTCTCATGTATAAACAAATTAATGTTTATGTTTTGTACAATATATTGACAATGAATGCGGAAATGGAATAAATCGATGTTTCTATTTTGTGTAGAACAGTTTAAAATATCAAACTAGATTGGAAAGCATAAATAATCACCTTGCTACTTTTCAGAAATTTTCTAAATCTTTTAATTAAATTCCTTTATTATATAATGAAGAAGTCTTTAATTTTGATGACGAAAATTTCAAAAATTTAATAATTTAGAGTATTGTTCGGTTGAAATTTGTATGAAATTTTAACTATCACAGGGTGATGGAATGTAAATTGTAGCATTTCCATCAACTTCAGTACATAAAATTCATCAAATGATAGATTAATTTCAGGTCTCACGTTTCTTTGCTCATAAAGAAAAGTATTTTTGTAACATAAAGATGATTACGAGTGAACTAATCGTCTCTACATGTAGAAAAATTATTATTACATGGGTTAACACTAACTTGTAACCTTTACACAATGAAGAGACTACTAAATAGTATTTTATCATCAAAAGAAATGTTTAATAATCGTTTCTAAACAGTATAAAGTATCAGATTGATATTTATAGCCCAATCATCAAACAATTAGAAACACTGATCGAAGTATATTTCGCTTATAGTTATTCATGTACCATAATGTCAGTTAACAGATACAATGAACTATATTTTTATATGTTTCAACAATAATATGTACCAGTTTCAGAGTAGAGTATTAAAAAGGAAGCGTAATATACTATGTTTAACCTAAGATTGGTGCATGATTATTATTAAATGAATGCTAAAATTTTATTAATATGATTCGTTTCATTCTTAGAGGAAAGTACACAGATAACATAGAATACTCACTTGTGATCCATTCATCACCTGACCGAACCGGTGAATGATATGTTACGTAATAACATTGTTTGCCGATGGTGTCAAAAGTAGTACCCGAATGCAACGTAGCGGGTTGTTTCATTTTATTCCAAGATAATATTGCAGAGTATATTAAAGGTTTGACATGCAACATAATGTTATTAAAAAATCTATCATATAGCTGCATTTTTAGATCTTGCTTTAATTCCACTGATGTTATAATATGACCAATAGAATTTTTAGCAATACAAAAATACTGTCCAGTTACTTTTGACGCATTACAAGTGTATATAAGAAGACTTCCATCTGGCATTTTGTTCACACCACCTGGCAAATCGATACTTAAGATAGATCTTTCATTAATTGTCCGGTCTTTTTGAAATGGATACTGGATACCATGATCAGTAGTATTGAATATACAGTTTTCAACTTGTTCAGTAATATCTTCTCTATCACAATCACCATATTCTTGGTCTTCTACAATATTCTCCGTTCCCATCTTCTGTGTCTGCTTGTTTAGACTCGTGATCATAACAGATTTTGATGAATTACTCCCTAGTTGGTTTAATTTACTCTGGAATCACAAAGATTAGAAGAGCAATGAAGAAGAATATACTGTACATGAGAATACATAAACAATTACACACATAATACATCAATTTTATTTTTTGTCTTTCGAATAGTTTATGAATATGTTTAATAATGAATTTTTCAACATGCTTACAGCAACTATGAACAAACGATAAAACGTTAACAATTCATCTTGTTTCAGGAAGATACGCTAACATTTTTTTCACAAATACTTTCAGTTATTAGACTGTATTTACATAAATTATTTCTTTTAACTATGATTAACTTTGAGTATCTTGAACAGATATTCAGTATTTATAAATAGTTGTCTACGCAAGATACTCAATATCCATTGGCCGGATAACATCAGCAACAGCTTACTGTGGGTGAGGACAAACAAGCTTGATGCTGGAGAGGAAATTAGGAAAAGACATTGGAAGTGGATAAAACATACAATGAGAAAATCACCAAACTGCATCACGAGGCAAGCGCTAACTTAGAATCCTGAAGGGAAGCGGAAAAGAGAGGGGGCGAAGAACACACTACATCAAGAAATGGAAGCAGATATGAAAATGAATAGCAACTAGAAAGAAATGCCCAGGATAGGGTTGGATTGAGAATGCTGGTAGGAGGCCTATGCTCCTCCACGAAGGGTAACAGGTGTAAGTAAGTATGTTTAGCTTTATCATTTATCAGTTACTGCTGTTTTTATCGGATAATATTGATTATTTCCCATCTTTTTGTAGAACAGAAATTTTAACATAGACTTGAACAAAAATAACATTATACTAATTTATATTTTCGATCAATCAGGATACATAAAGTTATTCATTAATTGTTTTTATATAATCATGACAAATATTACTAATAAATTAATGTGATGCTCATGTGATATAAAAATAATATTTCATGGGTTAAATGTTCAAGATTACATCTTTTCTGGATATCAGCAAAAAATTAAAACATTGTTAACGTACATAAAACCATTGAATTATTGGTTTAGGTTGTCCGTAGGCTTCACATGGTAATATTAACGGCATATTACTCTTTACGAACTCAACTGATTTTGGCTTCCTTATAAATCGAGGTAGTTCTGTAAAACAATAAAAATTCAAAATTTAAAAAATCCAGTTTACATATTTGTGATTTATTGGAATTTAACTGCTTTTACGAGTAACGGCTAACTTCTACGTGTATATACTAAATTTGATCTTGAGTCAGTACGAGTATAATATACTTGAAATATCCGTCCTTCTTTGTTATTTATTTAAGTCATGCTTACTTACCTGTCTTAATTATATCTGTCAAATAATATTTAGCTTTTCAATGTTGGCTGTCGAAGGTCTGTCATTGTAAAGCTGCAAAAGATGTCTATGAGACTCTTCTTGCTAGAAGTTGTCACAGAGGCTGATATGTTATAGAAGCATTGCACAGAATTTGAAGAAGTGGCTTCCCGAAAGTTGATCATCAAGTGTACAAATGGCAATAGACAGTCGTTTAATAAAAAAATTTTCTGTGAACCCTTTTTATAATCGATAAATTCGATTTTTAATTATTTCCTTAAAGACGCTCAATATAACTTAACAAGAGAAACATCGGAGTAATAACCAAGTTTATTCAATGAGAATTTTGCAAATATATATCGTTTTTTATAAAAATCTAAATTCAAATTTATTATATAATAACGTTTTGACACTGATTTATTTTCATATCAGAGAACACACGTTATGAATTGTCGAAAAGCATAGACGTTTATAAGGATTGACATTGAAGACTAATCCGTGTCGAGTAGAGACAGATATCTACCTCAGTACAATGGAATATGATCGCGCAATTTCGTGAATTGGTTGAGGTTAGACATCACGACTATTTGATGCCGGCTCAGATTACTAGAAAAATAGATATTTCTTCATGTCTAAGGTTCAAAGGTGGAACCTCAACGTCAATAATTCACTTCACATGTGTTGACTTCTTAACACTTTAATATGTTTCATAAAAACACACAGTTATTATTATTTTTTTAAATGTATTTGAACATCATAAATGAAATCAGTTTTTTTACTTATCATTTGAGTTAGCAACCATTAAGGTAAACGTCTGTTGTACAAAATATACTTACCGTTTACAATTACTTGTAGTTTTGGAGACCATGAACTCCATCCAATTGTATTACGAGCTCGACATTGATAAAATCCACCATCATTTTCTTTTACATTATCCCATTCATACCAATAAATAGTGAAAGACTACAAAGGTATAAATTATGAAGAATATCGAACTGAAAAAATTCATTCGTTTACCTTTTAAATTCTGTAAAGGTTTTGTTCATTTGATTAAGTTTTATTTTTCTGACTTTATTTTGATTTAAATATGACATTTTATTACTGACTAAAGTCATTAATGTAAATTGTTAATGTGCTAGTTTTGAATCACAGTGAAACAAGTATCCAATATTTTCTGCTTTTTAAATATTCATGAATTGATATAAGAACGTGATGAATGTGATCTCGAAATTTAGTTGTATGAATTACATAAACCTAATTCCACTTACAACAGAACTGAAAATCGTAATTATCTACTTAAATTAAACTTAATTGTACTGTGTAAATTATTTGTAGTCAATATGTTATTTTAGTTAATTAGTATTTTGAACGGCTTATAATTAATAGTTAGATTCGTGAGTCATTTCGTCTTAGTGTAGGACTCCTCAACAGTGCATATCTACGGTCCTGCGACCGTAGAATTTGAACCCAGGACCTATCGGTCTCGCACGCAAGCGCTTAACCTCCAACGGTGTTAATGTTTAGCTTCAACCAATCCACAAAGTAAATTGATTTCAATGAAATTTTCAAAAAGTATAGCTTTGAGCATTCACATTCAACACCGGATGATTTTTCTGTACTTAATTTATAAGACATCACATGTATACTGTTTTGAATAACTTGTACTTTTATTGACATTTAAATGAAACCGCTAAATGAAATGTAATAAAGTTATGCTACATATACTTTTTACATAAATAAACACACTTCGATGATGAAATGACGGTTTTTTTCAAATTGTTCAATATTATTAGCGTTGTATGATACACTGAGGCTATGATTTAGTTTAGGTTGATATTATATATAGCTGCTTGCCGTAAAATGTACATAACCAAATCATTATATTTAACAGCGTAATTAATTGAAACGTGACATGTGAACTAAATTAATTACTTTAAAAAATTAAATGTAATGCTCAACTAAGAGTTATTCAGAAACTATACATTATTCAACATTGAATCTTTTTCTGTGCATTGAAACTTATATGGGTTATTTCAATAGTTGAGATCATCAATCAATTAAAGCTAGACAACCATGAAAAACCTGGAAGCACTGGATGGCTGTTTCGTCCTAGTATGGGACTCCTCAGCAGTGATTATTCGCGACCCTGCTCCCCGCGAGATTTAAGCCCAAGACCTATCAGTCTCGCGCGCGAGCGCTTAACCACCATACCAATGAGCCATCCAGCATCCAACGGTGTTAATGTCTAACTTCAACTAGTCCACAAAATTGGGCGACACATCCACCATTTTGTTTAGTGAGTTACTGGCTCACAACAGACCCGGTTGAACTCCATTGGTCACTGCTTCTCACTAGAACTCCAGGATATACCTCTTGAAGCCAGTCACTAGTGAGCATATATTGATTAGTATGAGTTTGATTAGTTCCAGGTTTTCCATGGTGGGCTAGCTTCACTTGACTCATGATCCCAACTATTGAAAAAATTTCATATAGGTTAAGAATAATTTCAGATGATACGTGTCACAAATATAATAAATACTGAATATAAGCGTTGGTGCGTGATAAATATCAATGAACTGTGAGAAAGAATGTTTCTTTTTAAAAGATCTATGCAATCAAGTGATGTAATATAGGACAATAAGATACTTTATACTTATGTAACAAAACGTGCTCATTATTTAACAAACATGAATGAACATATGTTTAATAATATTGTAATATGTACTCCTTTCCAATAAATTCGACAATTGCTATATAATAAAATCAGTTCAAGCTACAAACCCTTTCGAATAGTCACTACGGTAATATAAAAAGTAAGTTCACAGCTATTTCAAAACTTCGCCTGATAAAAAGCATAACTGTTTAAGCTAAAATGATAAATATGATTGACTAACCACATATATTATAATAATTTTTCGTTTTTTCACTAGGATGATTTAATCATAAAGCTTGTCTATTGTGTAATAAGCAAATATTGTTGTCTCAAAATTATTCAATTGAATAAACAATAAATGTACTTTAATGAAGTACAAGATGGAGTTTGATCAGTAACATCTGAAAGTTAATGTTAAAATGGTGACTGAGTAAGGAACTTTTGTTAACCCTCGAAATGACGAATATTTCATTTTTGTTGGCATAATCCCTTGTCATTGGAAAAATTAAATATTGATTTAAGACTGTAGTAATAAATAATAATAACTAAACTGATTGCTATAAGTTTTGTTACAGTAGATAGTTCTCCCTATCAATTATACGATATTTCAGCAAATTTCATTTTAAAATACATTTAGATTTTAATCATCGGAAAACTATATTCTATAAAATTTTACTCAATAGTTAGTATTTCTAGATTCTTTTTAATAGTGTATGTTGACTATCAGCTTAGGCGATACATCTATTATTTTACTCATCAAATACTTTTAACCTATGAATTTTGTTAATCCTTTATTTTTTAAAAGAATATACAAAGAGAAGAGTTGGTCAACAAGAATAGTATTTCGGTCTGAGACTTCCAAAATTTGGTATAGACATAGATTGTCAATCTTTCATAATATCTCATCAGTAAATACAGTTCGTTTACACCATTATTCCTCCAAACAAATATCAAAAAAGAAGCTCTATTACAAATGAAGGTCTCATAGGCGCTTAAGAAAGCCGCCGTATATGAGCTTAAGTTTTGCTAAACAAAAGAGAACACACATATTATTTTAACATAAACTCAGTAATCTGAAGCATATCACACTATTTGGCGAATCAGTTATAAGATACTTCAATATGTACTTTACCTTTTACTTCACATCTTCACATATGGCTATTGCCTAAATATACATTTGGGAAACATTTTTATCATTCCTTAACTATAACATTGCAGAGAACTTTGATTTTTAAATATTAGATAATTATTAAGATCAATAAGATAAAGGAATTAGCATTTTCATCATTATGCTTGTCATAAAAACTCAATTCATACTTACTGAACTAGTATTTTCATCTCTTAAAAGTTGTTCAACTGGTAAAATTGTACCCATAGTTTTAGAATTTTGTTGAAAATTATTAATTATTACATTAGAATATGCTTTTATTGATGAATTTATTAATTTACGCCATTCAATTAAATCAATAGAAGGTGTTGCATCAACAATACATGGAATACGTCCTGGACCATTTCTACCCAAATATATTGGATTTATAGAGTTGTTAAGTTGAATATTTGGAATGTCTGTAATTTAAAAATGAAATGTTATTTATTTGAATAATAATATCAAAATGACAAATTAAAAAAAAAACTGTAAAAGTATATTTGTCAAATAGAATGAACACTAAGATTTCATATTTCCATTTATTTATGGTTCTATTAATAGTCCAAAAGGTAGATACAAACAATTTGATCAGTCAAACTGATCATACATTGCTTCGTACTAAGATGAAACCAGTAAATCAATAATTTCTTTTTGGTAAATCAATCATACGGTTTATTATTATTTTTTTTATGACTAAAATACTGTAATATACATATCCACGATTCTTATATTTCAATAGTACATACTGTGGTGCGTGCTACTTATGTTGACACAAGTAGTATATAACGGGTGTCAGGAATGTAATGTCTGGCAGCAGAAGATTGAAAAAATCAAGAAAGAAAGAACGGGAATAGAAAGCAATTAGTATAGAAATGCAAGAACAATGAAGTCGGAGACAATTACTGAACATTTCGCAAATTAGGTATTATAGTATGGTTTTTCTATGTTACCAAGTAACTCTGTATTGTCGTGCTGAATATTATTCGGTTGTCCTCATCGGTGTTCTCCTTCACTACAATATAAGTATGTAATTTTTTATATAAACCATATTCAGTCAGTTTAAAAAGTTTCACATTCTAATTGATTAAACTGAATTTGTTCTAAAAATAAATTATCAGTATTTTTTTCTAAAGAAGTGTGAGAATTTCGATCGCAACTAAGTCAATAGAACATTAACCAATATCCATGTAGAATAGAGAGGAACAATAATGACTAAAATCACTAAACTGTGTGTGGATGAAAATGTCTTATTTGGTTTATTGTTTACTCTGACTATGTATCATGAGAATGAATTTCGACTTTTGAATGTTGATATAGTAGGCTACATGAAATTTACCATTTTTTTACATTTACTTTCATAATTATTGTTACAAATTTGATTTAATTCCCTGTTATCAACACAATATATTCAGCTTAAATAGGCGTTAACATGAATAAACAAAGTTTAATATATATATTTATGATATTCGCAGCATTTACAATTTTACGCTTAACAGCAGTAATGTTGATAAACGAATTAAATTCAAGTGTTATAGTGAGTACAGTAACTTAAGTAGTGCGAAAAGTACAATAACAAATTTTCACCAACATTTATAGATAGAGTTTTTATTGTTTGAGATTATGAGAGGGATATCTTTGTTATATTTATTGATTTGTTTCCCACCATATTGTAAAACTAATATGGACCAAATGCTTAAAACCATATACAAGTTACACAAAAAGAATCTGGTTCAATGATGAATGTTTCAGAAAATAAGTGGCTTTTTCAAGAACTTTAAAGGTAAAACTGAGTAAATTTATAAAAAATTTACATTTTTATAAATAAATAGAAATACTTCATTAGTTATCTCAAAGAAACGAAACTGAAAACAAGTTATAACAATCCCAAGTAAACATCTAATTACTTTCTGTTGATGAATCATGACAGTGTACATCATAAATGCATGAGACCGAATTCACTGTCTGTTGAAATGGTTTTAATGTCACTAAATATACTACTTATGCCGAATAGTTATATTGTTCACAATTCGAAACGGTCATGAGTTTATTTAAATAGTTTTTTTGTTGTATGATTTTTCCAAAATTTATATGCGTGTCAAATAGTCTGACACTAAAACATTACAGTTTGTAAAGATATTTTAAAGGGATCCTAATTTGAGCGTATCCTTGATGAGTGTGTTACTCGCTAACTAGAGTGAAGAATATCTCACTATATAGTGAACTGAATGAATTTCAAAATATATATATTGCTGGATATCATCTCGGTGGCTTAAACACAGCATGTTTATTACCAAATTAAATCTCTTTAATTCAGTTCATGATGGTACTTTGGCGGTTTGAAGCTAAAAAGTGCTGAAATAAAGCAAAACAGAAATTTTGTTCTTCTTGCTTTTTAATTTACCTGCAGTTAAAATCAGTCTGTTAGATGATCAGATCCAGCTTAGACTTATCTCAAATCTCTCAATCAAGCCTGTATGTTGTGAATTTCTTCGATTTGTAACAATCACAGAATTTTAAATTGATTGTTAATACACCAGTTAAATTCTGGTTACGATAAAACTAAATAACATGAATGGCAAAATTTTTCCCCCTCAAGTCTTCTGAATGAATTCTTCAGTGATTTCAGGGGCAAAAATACGAAATGAACTAGCCTTCTGAGAAACAAATTTTCTATGGCTACGACCACACATGAACTTCAATCCCAAGCAGTGATAGTATGACTACTATAGCTTCTTGTTATCAAAATGTTAGTCATCTCATAAATTATTGGATTTATATCAACCATATATATAACCATTTATATAACCATTAACAACCACCAAAATTATTTTCGGAATTATCAATATTATTAGACGCTAGATTTGAGAATTGTAAGAGGAAAGTAGTGAAAATGTTTTCATTAGAGTGGGGCCCAACATAAATTAAAACATAAAACCATAGTTCCTTAATTGTCATACAAATATGAGTAATTCGTATCATTTGCACGTTGAATACAGTAGGTAAATTGTTTCTTGTACTGCAACCAATATAAATTTATTTAAACCATAATACTAGGGAAATTGGCCAAATACAGTGAACTACTCCAAGTCAATTTTTTTCTAACATTTTCGTCTATGTCAAGAAAGTTCTCAAATGATACAGAATGAAGCAGATTTATCAAAATACTATTTTGATTCATAACTTATTTTGAAAGAATTACAATAATTTTGATTAGACAAACATTAATTTTATGCCACTAGTATAATAAAGCACAATTAATAAAGTAACAAATCTCATTTAAACATTTAGATAAAGATGCTTCAGTTATTCTTTTTTCAACTATAATTAAATTTTATCTAAGTGATAACGTCTTTGAATTGAACTTTGTAGTGGTGGCGAAAAGTTGTGGCTCAAGTGGATGATTTTGATAGAGTTTTGTTCTGTGAGCTGGATGGTTTGGCCATGGTCTTCCATCGTTCTTATGAACGACATCATCACCACGAACTTCAGGTACTTGTCTCTGAACCCCATTAGATTTAAATTCTAGTTAATTTTACGTATATCCCAGACTAATTCCGTCGTAAAATCGAATTCCAAAGATAAAGTAATATTAATAATTCGATTACCAAATAATTTTGGGGATAGATATATTTCCACGAATTGATTCACTAGACCACATGAATGAAATACAAAGATTGTAGAAAGTATGCATTATACATGACATGTGAATTGATTCGGGAATGAAACGCCGAATAAGTGGTCGATTTAGTTAATATATCTATGCATTTATTACGATAAACAGATAGGCAGATAAAGACATAATCAAGCTTGTATTAAAAATGTACAGGAAAATAGTTAGTGATGAATAGCAAAATAATTTATAGGCTGAAGATACTATATCTGATAGTTAAGCGAGTGTCCACCACTATACTTGTTCAAACAATAATCAACATGCATTGAAGTGTACTCCAAGAGAATACTATGAGATTGCCGCAAGATAATAGATTCAAGAAGGGGAAGAAATCAGGAAGAAGCGCTAGAAGTAGATAGGACACACATTGAAGAAAGCGATCAACTGAGTCACTAGGCAAACCCTGACTTGGAATCCTCAAAGCCAAAGGAGAAGAGGAGGATCAAAGAACACATTACGCCGAGAAACGGAGACAGACATGAGAAGAATGAACGACAACTGAATAGAACTAGAAAGGAAGGCCCGGGACAGAGTGGGTTTGAGAATGCTGGTCAGCGGCCTTTGCTCCATTTGGTGGTAATAGGCGTAAGTTAGTAAGTACGTAAGCCACAAGATAACTAATTATAGAAATATCATAAGAAAATGAAATTGATCATTTTATATAGGTATAATATTGAATCAAGTAAGCGCCAAATGATATCAATACAGTGAAACATCAGTATTTTGACGCTGATTAGAGTATCATTTTTTAGCGATCATGATTCAAATATAAAATACAAATTGATGAAACCGATTTAATAATAAAATAGAAAAGGATCCAAATTTTTTTTAGGGTATCGATATTAACAGGTTAATATCAACTGGTAGGTAACACACACCAACGAATTCATAATCATTACATAATACACAATATTTTATCATACTTTCCATTGACTTCCTCATAAACTGATATCAAACATTATGTAAGATACTGAATAAATGATTAAATAATTATCAGAGGGGTTTTTGTGGAGATTTTAGTCATTTCAGTGGATGTAATCATGAGTCAATTGAAGCTAGAACACCATGGAAAACCCTTCTGATAATAATCATCTGCTCACTAGTGACAGAATTCAAGAGGCATTTCTTGGAGTCCTAGTGAGAAGCCGTGATCATGGAGTTCAACCAGGTCTTTTGTGAGATATCAGCTCGCAGAAGACAATGGTGTAAAGTGGCACAATATCACGAACTGGTTGCAGTCAGACATTAATACTGTTGGATGCCGGCCGGCTCAATGGTCTAGTGGTTAAGCGCTCGCGCGCGAAACTGATAGGTCCTGGGTTTGAATCTCGCGGGGAGCGGGACCGTGGATGCACACAGTTGAGGAGTCCCATACTAAAAAGAAACAGCCGTCCAGTGCTTCCAGGTTTTCCATGGTTGTCTAGCTTCAATTGACTCATGATTTCAACTATTGAGATTAAATAATTAATATTAATTAAAATCAATATTAAGCCTCTTTTAAGTCAAATTCTTTCCAACTTTTACGTGTTTATTATAAAAGATACCTGGAATAATATCAAAGAAATAATCCTTCATAATCTTAGTTCTTAATAGAAAGCTTTACTGGAGGGCATTTATTCATTTACATTGTTATCTTTCAGAAATCTGTATTGTTTCTCAAAAATATAATATATTTGCCTTTTCATAATTGAACTACTATATTATTTGTATAAAAAATATATGTAGGTTTATTATTATTGTATTATCATAATTAATTTATAAATATCATAGAGAGTAATTCATAATATACAAATCCAAAAATTAACTATTTTGCGTAGTTATCTTATTTTTTTTCAAGATTTTTAAAGTCATGGAACCAATTCAGAGATGTTACAAGTTCTATTGAATCACATCAAACGAAGTTAAAAGAAATTTTCGGTAGTTCATTTAGTGGATGTTGTTAGAAGTGAATCATTTATGTGAATTGTTTAATCTATTAATGCTGAAAAAATAAACACATCAAGGTTATTTTCATTACGTGATTATTGATTGAAAAACTATTACAATCACGAATGACCATTTAGTCTAGACTCTTAACTCCTTAGGAGTATGAGAAAAAAAAACCAACTATTATAGTTTTCTGCATATGTATGTAACCAGGTGTAGTCAATTTTCTAGTTTAGTTATCCAATTCGATCACTTTTTCATCAAGATCTTTGAGTATACATTCTGTCTTGAAAACCATTTTGTTAAACCTTTAGCCAAATTATTAAATAAATTCGTGATAATTTGTTACTGAGATTTCCATGGTATATTTAGAAGTTGAGACTGTCTAGACTCTAAAGAAGATGATTATTTCTTCAGTTTATTATTTTTTTCTCAACAGTAGAAATGATATAATTTGATATATGTTACTAACCATCCAACTAATGACCTTATACATCAAAATCATTATATTAGTAATTAGTTTTAATAAAAGCAATCAGAATTTGCAAATATTTTTTTTCTTAGTAACTCATAAAACAAAGCAATTTGTCTATGCTAGTCGATGTATGTAGTTTACTAATTAAACTTAATTAGGTAAATAATTAGATTAAGAAAATTATATTCCTTCTATTCTATTTATTATTTATAATATGAATTACTACAATTAATCAGACAACTATGAAAGTAGAACCTTCTAGCATATATTAGCCAATGAATGATTATCGTTTTGAAATTTAAACTGAATAATAAACTTCAAAAAGTTGTTCATACAACGTTATTTGGACTTATAATACACATTTCACTGATACTCGCTCTCAAATGCCCTGATACGACCGAGGGTGAGGAGAGTTAACTCTCCCTCTGGAAATGCTCTCACTAGGCCAAGCACATACAGCCACTACCAGAGAAGTCCTATTTACTGCCTTCTCGTGGTGGGGGTGTTGTTTATTATTATTATCATTATTAGCTTTATTCAATATTATAATTTTGGTACAATATAGAATTCTCAGCGCAAAGTATTTCAACAAGTTTCCGTTTCTTTCTTCTTGGTCGGTCCTGGCGATAAATATTGAGGAATCGCCAGTTAGATGTTAGCACTTCAGTGAATGAACAACTGAATAATGTACATTCTTTCGTTGTACATTGCCAGCAACCATATTGTCTCTTATTGAGTTTTCTGTAACTTTGACAACGAAAGGTTGTACACTTTTCAGAAACGCAGCAGAATAGGTTATGCGATTAATAAACATAATGATATATTAAAACAAACAACAATAGATAACTTGTTGAAATATCTAGATGGCAGGAACAGGTAGCCCAGATGCTCAAGCAGGCCGCCCAAATTGAGAGGACAAAAAGTGAATGTCTGATGCTTTATCCGGGTTGGTGGATATGGAGGATCCACCTAGGGAAGTTGGAAGACCCTGGTTCTGAAACGATGGTGCATATAGGCTCCAGAATTCCGAGAGAACAAGTGGTGTATGAACCAATTATTGGTCACCGGCTACCATGGGACTGCATCTCATGACGTTGCTGCACTGCCTTGTGAATCAGACCTTCATGTCGAAAGCTCCGGATGTGGCCCCCTAAGAAAACCACTTACTTCGGTCTGAGCACCCGAGTAGTATCACAGCCCACACACAAATCAAGTGACTTGTGTGGCGCATATATTTTCGATGCCCTTTGTATCAATATTTATGTGCTCAAATAAATAAATAATATACGTGCAAGCATTAAATTCCAAACAAATTAGATATCTAATTATAATAATAGATCTTAGATGTAATCTTGTGCTGCTTTATACTGAATAGCGAATTAAACCTGTCTAGTTGCTGTCTATTTGAAAGACAATTTCATTGATACTGCTAAATCTAATGGTCACTGATATTTATCTGTATGCACTTCATAAAATTTATCTAAGAATACAATTTTCCATTCCATTTTTCTTCAGTCAAACAACAAATAATACTTCAAAATTTCAATGATTACCATACTAACATACATTGAACATTTAACCAGGCAGATGCTTCTAAATTCTGTTTCACTTTTTCATGTTCTTCATTATATCCATGTTCACGATTGCGTAAATATTCAGATATGAAATCAATTTGTCTTTGATTATTGTCATTCTGTTCAGTTACCAAAGGTTTCATGTAATTATGTTGACTGTTTGAATATTTGAAAGCTACTTGACATGTATAGATCCCAGTATCATTACGATTAATTTGTGTAAGATATAAACTACCATTTTGTAAAATTTGATAACGATGTTGAATATCTGGTTGTAAATTTATATTTACTTTATTTTTTAACCTATAAAGAAAGTCAGAAATTCACAATACATATTTCTTTTATAAACTGTAATAACTAAAGGTAATGACTTTTAAATTGGTTGTGTTATTCATTAATGAGATAATCTGAAACCTCGTTGAAATATATTCATATACATTTTTAAAAAATCGACATAACAAACAGCTATATGAAGGTCGTATGTTCTAGCTAACAGATTCATTATAACGAAATGTTGAAAAAATGATCCCGCAGGCGGGATCGTGGATGCTCACTGCTGAGGAGTCCCATACTAGGACGAAATGATTTTCCAGTACTTTCAGGTTTTCCATGCTGGTCCAGCTTTAACTCAACTATTAAGTTACTACGATCTCAAAAAAACCCTCCTTGACAAAATTTACATTATTTGGTGATCCTCATTTTCAACGTCCATCAACTTACAGTATAGAGCCAGGATTACGTAATTCCATTTATGATGTTTATCTCACTTCTAACATATAACAGTCATCGATATAATGTTTATATAAATGGTAATAAGAACGTATAACCAACTATTGTCTGAAAAGTTGACGTGAATTTAAAGAAACGTGGAATAATATTGAACCAGTTTCTAAATAAAACAACTTTATATTCAGTTTCTGGTACCACATAATTACAATTATTGACTGATATTAGCTTTATTTGTTCTGTCATAATAAAACTGTAGCACGTTGAAGAATTGATAGTGTTTTAGAATGGCTAGTGATAATGATTACGAAAATTATAGCAATTTTTACAGTTAGAAGATATACCAAGACGGATGCTGTCATCGAGTTCACAATTTTTACAGAAACAAAATATGATTTAATACTCACCATTTGTATGATAAAATATTAACCCTTTCATTTATCTGACAGTCAAAACGAATATGTTTCGCATGTTCTTGTATTGTGATATTTGTTGGTGTTTTAACTAGGAAAAAAACAAAACAAAATATATTTATTTAGCCAGGTACCTTTCATAACTAAAAAATGTAATATTCTGTAGACAATAGAGTAGATCAAGTAATGTTAATGAAATCTCATTTTATGAGTTGGTAATTGATGAGTTCTATATGTATTAGAATATAAACGTTTCAATTTTCACATTATTAACTGACTTTGGTTAGACAACCAATGAAAACAGGGTTAACCATACATTTCTAATTTTAACTTATTCACGATATCGTGCGAACATTTTCCATATTCACTGTTAATATTTATCTCTTTATAGGATGTTGTGTGATGGTTATGTGATGGTTCTTAGACATTCAGTGAAAATACATGTTTAATATTGATCAAATTAGGTGTTTTGTCGACCTGCTAAAATATCTGGCCTACCTGTTCCTGATATTTTAATAAGTTATCTGTTTCTATGTTTGTTTTAACAAATCATTACGTCGATTAATTGAATAACCTATTCAAGTGTGTTTGTGAAAAATTTACGACCTTTCACTGTACAAGTTACATAAATGTACAATTGAAGCTGTCTGGCAATATGCATTGAATATTATTCGGATGTTGACTTTTGTAATCCTAATTTCTAACCGGCAATCACTCAATATTTATCATCAATATCGATCAAGAAATAAGGGATGGAAACTCTCTGAAATATTTTGTACTGAGAATTCTTCATTGTATCAAAGATATAATATTGAATAAAGCCAATAATAATAATGATAGTAATAATAATAATGAAATCTTTATCACCAAAGTAATACCACCTGTGAAGTTAATAAAAACTAAGTTATGAAGTATCAGTTAAATCTTGATGTGAACTCATTGGTTGTTTAAATTTGTGCTAAATAAACGAATAGATTACAATAAGCAATTTTACCAAGTGATGAAAACATTTTTATCCCATAATATCCCACTAGTATAAATTGAAATGTCTTTCATAAATATTAATAATAGTTTATCATAGAATTTATTGCTAAACTATAAAATTTAAATTTGCCCGAAAATTATCGAAGAGAAATTTTTAAAAGTAAACTATTCACAATTCGTATTGTGAGAGCAAAGTGAACATTTTTATAATCAATGTTAAACGGTTTAGATTACCTAGTCTAATTATTTTAATCTTTATTGTACCTGGATTAACTATACAATATGCCTGAATGTAAATTTATTTCATAGTATTAAAACGTTTGAAATTATGTGATATTGTGGTGTGAGTTACTTATATCCCAATAGGTAGTATATAACGATGGTCAAACGAAGAATGTATTTTAGTGGAAGATCGAGAGGGAAAGAACGTGAACGAAGAGCCATTGATATGATAATGCATGAACAATGAAATCTGAGACGATGAACTAATATTTGCAAAAGGAAGAGTCATGTTTGAGACAATTGATTGATATTTTGCAAACTATTTATTGTATGGTCCTCGGATTTTAGTGCGATGTGTCGTAATTTTGTGTTCAAATTCATTCGGTTGTCCATGCTCGAGTTCCTGTTCACTAAAATATAACCTTAGTTTAAAATGAAAATTTACGTAAAAATAGTCTTTCTCTGGTTTAGAAACCAGATTTTCTGCGTGACAAAAGAAATGAAATAAGAGTAATATAATTTATACTCTAAATAAATAAAAATATTTGTAATATCCCAATGAGTAGAAAAATCAAATTTTTTGACGTTTCGTGACTCAGTGTTAGCCACCTTTTCAGAGAAAAAATAGCCAAATCAAAATTAATCCAAGTTTAAATAGTACAACGGAACAACAAGAAATGTTTGGTTATTTATTTTCTGAAGAGGTGGCTCATATTAAGTCACGAAATGTCAGAAAATCTGATTTTCTACTAATTGAGATATTACAAATATATTAATTTATTGATAACAATCTACTCAATGCTCAATTTATTCCAAATTATCAAGGCAAACCATGGTAATGATACCTATAATACATACTCTGTATTTACTGACATACTACAGTGAAATTTATGTGAAATTGATCTGCCATGATTAACATTTGCAGTTGAAAATGTAAGTGAGAACAACATAATTATGGATTACATTTAAACAATTATCTGCCCTGAAAAAAAACCTTGTTAAAGATATTGTTTTAGATTCTAATTGACGTTGTTAAATTGAAAATAAGGCGTCGAATATGATTAAATACATTCATAAATTACAATTACCAAAGTTGTTTTTTTTTCAATTTTAAGTGTAAAACAATCAAAAGAACAAATAATATTTATATTCAAACATCAGACACATGAAACATTGATTTTTAATTGTAGTAACAGAAGTTACTGCCTGATTTGTGAAATGATTTTGAAATACACATTACCCTTCCCCAGAATTAATGTAAGTATACAACTTTACTTGCTTAGAGATATTGTAAAGTATTAGCTTAATGGTTTAAGTGATCAACTTTAAGCCACTGAATTATAAGTTCAAATCTCACTTTGTTAAGATTAATTTCAGTAGACATGTGGTTTAACAATCCTTCAGACAATATTTGTGGCTAAACGCCAAGTATGCAAAGTTGTTTTTCGTATATATTTTACAGGATAATAACAAATTATGAAATAATCTATAATGTGTCTATCCTTCAATCAATCGCAAATACACTTATAACTTTTAATGTCCGCTAAAAATCTTGAGATCATAAATAAATTGTAATATTAAACACTTTCCTTTAAGATGACATACCGTAATACTGGAGACTCGTGCATTTACTTCTTATCAAATTAACAATTAGACACATTTGTTTATTTTATCAGGAATGTTTCTTTGAATATCATACTCTTATATAATCAAATAGAATCCATCTACTAAGTAAACACTTCAACATATTGCAATTATTACCAAAAAGATATTTCACAATCTGCTATTTCAGAAAACCAAAAATGTAACGCTAAACTATTACATGATTTTTTACTTACAGAGTTCATTTTACATTACTGATTGCCACATTTATTAATTTGGATCATTATTCTTACCTCAAAACTAAACTCAAAACATGTAAAAAACCAAGCATGACTTGAGCAAGAAAATAAAGTACCAAATGAATTGTTTTCCCTCTTCAAAAAAACAACAATTTTAACTAAGTTCACTCATTTATATGGAGATTTTACTGGTATTTGATGATTAGTTAACAAGTATCATATATAACTAAGACAGTAAAAAAAAAGATTTTACACTGAGTAACTACAATCAAATGTTATCATGAACAAATGTCACATTGAACCAATAAATGATCTCCCGTTTTATTCTTTCATTAAACATTCTCTTTTATAGAGGAATATCTATGAGTAGAATCTTGCATGGAGTCAGCATAAAGATTACTAATCTTTATTTAATATTGGAGTTCAATGTAGAAATGATTTCGTAATTAGATGTATTATCAAATTGTTGAAATATATCATCCAAAAAGAAGTTTCGGATCAATGATGTTTTTGAGTCAATTGAACAGGTAAGTAATGTTTATAAAATCATTTCTCAACAGCTAACAATCTAATCAAGAACTAACTGGTTTTAGTCAATGAATTGAACATTTTTAGATAAATCATTAAAATAACAGACTAAGTGTCAGATCATGAATAAAAATATTTCTTATCAAAGACAAAAGTTTGAATCAATTATTCCTTTTGAAAAACAGAAAATATTTCTTTGTGAATGTTTTGTTCTACGTTAACCATATATCAAAAAGCTATGGTGAAAATGTAGCGCCAAATTTGCATAAAGCTAATACCTTCCATACACATCTCTCAGCAATATCTGACCTGGTTTATCTAGGGAGAAATCATTATAATCAGTGGCTTAAACACGAACATCTCATCACCTCTAGGCACGTTATTCTAAGAGAATCATCCTTCAGGATTTTTTATGCAGTCAAATAAGCAGGATTGAAGGGAGGTCAAGTTGACCACTCGTACACTTCGGAAGCTATATCAGTTCATCACTAAAAGCCTGAACTCTACTTGTTAAAGTAATAAGTGCAATCTTTTATACTTCTGTTACTTTAATACCGTTTTCGGTGTGATTTCCATTTTCATTATTATTATAATCATCATAATGTTTTACGTTTTTAATCATTAACCGGTTATTACTAACATCTATTTTTTTAGATTCAATATCCAATTCAGATCGTCTCCAAGTTCGTTTACTTCTCCGTCATATCTGTCATGTGGACAAATATATCTCATACTCATGAGTCGTAAATTGTTATCATCCACCTATTCTTCTTCAAACTCTTAGTCATTATGCAACCCCACTTTGGTATCTCCAAACAATTTACGATTTAGTTTCCCTTCATTCTTCAACAGACTCATATTTTTTAAATCACTATAGATACGATTGTACAGCTTTAGTACACTACATCGTCAAAGAGAAACTTTATTTCGTTGGTTATTCTTTATTTGTTATTGAAGAAAGGATAATTATAGTATCACTCCAGGATACGTTTGCATAACTAGAAACTCAGATTTTCATTAATAATGTTCATTTAATCATTGCTTTTAAAATTAAACAGATTTCTATCTGTAATTAAAGTAAATGCTTTTCTTTTGTACATGTAAACTAATGATGCATCAATTCAGACGGTGAATTATTCCTCAGGTTATGATCAGCCATTACCATGACTGTGAGATAGACGACAATCATTAGTCTTATTGAATACTGATAGTAAATATGATAAATATTACTTTGATTTAATAAATAGTCTTCACGTCTTCAAACGTATCTTTACTCAGTTTTATAAACTTTGTAGAAACAACATCATTTAAACAAAATCAATCACATTTTACTGTTTAGCATTTTATTATATTTCACTACTGAAATATAAACTTTTTCAGTAATATTCACTAGTGAAATTAGTATTCATTTCATCGATCAATATAACATCTGAACATGTATCGATATGCATTTTATAGATATCTCACCAATAAAATATATTAAGAAAATTTCTTAAAATTCAACAAATAGATCAAG